CAATGCTATCTTCATACGATAGACCATGTAATGGCACTACAAGCAAATAAATGCTAAAGCAAAGTCATAAATATGCACTCAGGTAATTATGTCAACATACCTTACTGGTGGCCACATGCTATTTCAGAAAAACTATTAGAGAAAATACTACTGTGATATTATATGGCTCTTCAACTAAATCAGTGTCCCAAGAAATCTCTGTAAACTAATCCAAAAATCAATGATTTACATTACAGTAAAATGCTGTCCCTTCATCTAAACACTAATAAGCTTCAGGTAGCTTACACAACTGTCAAACTTCTGACTGTCATAAGACATCTCCACATGGCAAGGTTGGCTAGAGAGATGAACAGCTAATCCATTCTTTTACTAGTTTCATACCAATCCATCGTGGACCTCCTTACTTTTTCTGGCTTCTTCTGCCAGAGTTCTACATCCTGAACATAACGTGCAGACTTCTGTGAAGCCCATGTTCTCCTACTTGACAGAAACACAGTTTGAGACTCCACATATTTTATGGAGTCAAGACTTCTCCTAAGTGTGCATCATAAAATTACTATCAAATTAGCACATAGAAGAGCAGCCCATGTTCTCCTACTTAACAGAAACACAGTTTGAGACTCCGCATATTTTATGGAGTCAAGACTTCTCCTAGGTGTGCATCGTAAAATTACTATCAAATTAGCACATAGAAGAGAATAGTGCAGGAACCATTAAAATTATTTTCTGCCCTTAAAAAAAACAACTAACCTGCAGTGAACCAAAAGCTGTACACACTTCATAATATGGAAATAACCTATAAGCAGTGTTAAGAGAACACTCTAGTAACTCTACCATGGCGGTAGCCTTGCTAGGAGTTTTTATTTTCTTTCATGAGAGATGCGTTAGGTGTCTTTTTTTTTAATGTATCAGAATAAAAAGGAAAATAAACTATTAAATAAATACAGCATTAAAAATTAACAGTTTTTACTCTGTATGCCCTATGACAAATATTAGACTGCAGAAAGCCAGGTACCCTTAACAGATATCCATTATCTAATATAATTATAACCCATGTTGTATATTACATATTCATAAATGTTTGGCCCTTGATTTACACACTGTTACAGAAGTAACAAGAACAGACCCATCACGGACACTGCGGAGCCTAGATACCTTAGTGACAGGGGAAATGAAATGCATCAGATCAGCCCGTGCACCCACCATAGGTGACAAACATGGATATACTGGCACACTTGTACTAGCTTTTGTCTACTTTGTCAGCTTAAATGATGCACCTTCAAGCATTAAAATGGGCATCCACTTGTATTTAAATCTGTAGTACACAGCAGTCCCAACTTCAGTTATTTGTAGCCACTGCTGTACTAAAATGATAGAATTGACTTAAGATTCATACGTTGTTCTTTAAAGCATTTTTTTCTTTTCGTTCTGATGAACAGTTTTATGTTCATGACTTTACAGTGTAAACTGAAAAATTAAGCTCATTTGCATAATGTCCTTTGCATTGCTTTAAAAATAGATGAATATGAGTTACTCTCTGAAAGTCTAAATATGTAAGACTTGACACAAATGCATATCATAAATTACTGACAAACACAAACCAAATAATCTATGAACACTAACTACTGCAAGCTGTTGCGGTCTTGCTAGCATTTGGCATTATCTAGAAAGAACAGTCACAGGCATATTGTATAAACTGATTCAGTCAAAGTAAGGGTACAAGTAATGTTTTAAGTATAAACTTGACACAAGTTGGTTTAGTATTTTTCACGATTTGCTCTCAAGAAATTTTAAATTTATTATTACGATTAGAAGCAGAATCAGTATCTTAGACTATTTACATGCCAAAATGTGCCTTAGTACTTTTTTTTTGCCATTTAAAACTTAAAATACCTAACATACCTTTTAATATTGTGTAATTTTTAAAGGATATCAATGTATTTCTTAAAGTGATACAACTATGATAACATATATGCTTTCTCCTTTTCACCATTAATCACAGAATTGTTGAGATCAGAGGGGACCTGTGGAAACTTGTCTAGTCCAGCTCCCTTGTTCAAAACGGCCAACTACAGCAGGTTGCTCAGGACTGTGTCCAGTCAGCTTTGAAGTATCTCCAAGGATGGAGACTCCACAATATCTCTGGGCAAGCTGTTCCAGACTTTGGTCACTGCCACTTCAAAAATTTCTGTCTCATGTTTAAATGGAATTTCCTGTATTTTAATTTGAGCCCATTACCTGTTCTCCTGTCACTGGGCACTACTGAGAAGGGTCTGCTCTGTCTTCACCTCTCCACCCATCAGGTATTTGCAGACATTGGTAAGATCTCCCCTGAGCTTTCTCTCTTCCATGCTGAAGAGTCCGAGCCCTCCAAGCTTCTCGTTTGTCAGATGCTCCCATCCCTTAACTTTTTTGTGGCCCTTCACTGAGTTTGCTCCAGTATGTCCATGTCACTCTTTTAGTGGGGTGCCCAGGACGTGGTCTCAACCAGTGCTGAGTACAGGGGAAGGATCACTTCCCTCAACTTGCTGACCAATGCTCTTTCTCATGCAGCCCAGGAGGCTGCTGGCTGCCTTTGCCGCATCCATCACCGTTCTAGATGACTGAGGTGAGGCTGACTGGCCTGTAGTTCTCCAGGTCAACCTTCTTGGTCTTCTTGAAAACAGGATTGACATTTGCTTTCCTCTAGTCCTCAAGAACCTCCCTTGATTGCCACAACCTCTCAAAGATAATTGAGAGTGCCATTACAATGACATCTGCCATCTCCCTCAGCATTTACAGGTGCACCCTGTCAGATCCCATAGACTCATGTATGTCCAGCTTAATCAGGTATTTCCTAAACTGATCCTCCTCCACCAAGGTTGTCCTTCCTTCCAGATTTTCCCACTGGACTCTGGGACCTGTGATTGCTGAAGTCAAACAGCAGATTGCCAGAAAAAAATAAGTGAAGAAGGCATCAAGTTCCTTGTCCTTTTCTGTGTCCATTGTCACCAAGCCCTTGCCCCACATGGCAGCGGGCCCACATTTGTCCCAGTTTCCCTTTTACTGATGATATACCTACAGAAACCCTTCTTGTTGCCCTTCACATCTGTTGTGGTTTAACCCCAGCCAGCAACTAAGCACCACACAGCCACTCGCTCACTCCCCCACGGTGGGATGGGGGAAAGAATCAGAAGGGTAAAAGTGAGAAAACTCATGGGTTGAGAAAAAGACAGTTTAACAGGTAAAGCAAAAGCTGCGCACGCAAGCAAAGCAAAGCAAGGAATTCATTCACCACTTCCCATCGGCATCCCATGTTCAGCCATCTCCAGGAAAGCAGGGCTCCAGCACATGAAACAGTTACTTGGGAAGACAACGCCATCACTCCAAATGTCCCCCTTCCTCCTTCTCCCCAGCATTTATACTGAGCATGACATTGTATGGTATGGAATATCCCTTTGGTCAGCTGGGGTCACCTGTCCCGGCTGTGCCCCGTCCCAGCTCCCCATGCACCCCCAGCCCTCTCGCAGCTGCAGCCCAGTTTGAAAAGCTGGACAGTCCTTGACTGCTCAGCAACAGCTGAAAACATCAGTACGTTACCAACATTATTTTCATCCCAAATCCAAACCACAGCACTGTACCAGCTCTCAGGAAGAAAATTAACGCTACCCCAGCTGAAACCAGGACAACATCTCTTGCTAGCTTCAAGTCCAGGTAGGCTTTGGCTTTCCCAATCCAACCCTACACACTTGGACAGTGTTTCTATATTCCACCGGGGTCACCTGTTCCTGCTTCCCTCCCTTTTACGCTTCCTTTTTATATTTAATTTTAGTCAGAGTTTCCTTGTTCATCTATACACAGGCTTTCTGCCACTCCTGCCTGACTTTCCGCTCATTGGGATGGACCATCTTTATGCTTAGAGGAAGCAATCCTTGAAAGTCATCAGCTCTCCTGGACTCTTCTTCTCTCCACGATCATACTCCATGAGATTTTTCCAAGTAAGTTCCCGAACAGGACGAAATTTGCTCTCCTGAAGTTCAGGGTCATGAACCTGCTATTTGTTCCCTCCTCTCAGGATCCTAAACTCCACCATCACATGGCCATTGCATGCAAAGCTGGCTCCAACCTTCACACCCCCGACCAGTTCTCCCTTGTTGGTACATACCGGATCTAGCAAAAAGCCTCATCAGCTCCTCCACCAGGTGTGTGAGGAAGCTGAGAAGTTACAAATGCTCTCCAGAAACTCCCCTGACTGCTTACGCCCTGCTGTGTTGCCCTTCTAGCAGATTTCAGGGTGGTTCAAGTCTCCATATGAGACCAAGGCCTGCAAGCATAAAGCTTCTTCCAACTGCCTGAAAAATGTCACACACATCTTCCTGATCAGGTGGTCTGTACTAGATGCCCACCACAACATTACCCACCTTGGTCTCCCTTTAATCTTAATTCATTAGGTCTCAGCTGGCTGATTGGGTCCTTGGGCAAAACTTCATGCATTCCTCCTGCTCTCTCCCCTCCTCACTGCCCCAGCCTGTGCTTCCTAAAGAGCCTGTATCCATCCGTTGCAGCACTCCAGCAACGTAAGCTATCCCACTACATCTCTGCAATTCCAAAGATATCATAGCCCAGCAACTGCACACAGGCCTTGAAGTCCTTCTGCATTAAGCCAAAAATTGTTTTAAAGTCTGTTATAATTAGCATCTTTAAAATAACGGAGTAATACTGCTGCCCGAAAGAATAACTACATACACAAAGGAACTCCTTCAACAACACGAGGAGGAAAGCAAGAAAAATTCCTGTACATTTTATTGGTCTTAAGGTACAGTCCCATTACAATTGACTTTTTTCTTTGCTTTTAAACTAAAATTCAACATATTAAAAAAAAACATTAAAAAACTGATTGGTCAGCTATAAATACAAAATCTGTTCACAAAATTAAAAAAAAAGCAGACTGTTTTGGACATATAACTTCATATTTATGGCCCAGTTCACTCAAGATCATAAGAATAGTTTTGTTTTCTGGACTATAACTGCTTTCTGCACAAGGATCCAACACAAAGGTTGTTCTTGGGCTTATAAATTACCATAGGCAAATACACACGTGATTGACAAGATACAGGTCTCTTACTCTTCTTCATGGTAAAAACATTGTCTTCCTTTGGAGGAGGCACATGTACAGGTTTCCAAGGAATGGGGTTACAATATGCTGGAACCGGATACGAATTTCCATCAGCACACCCTAAAATGTTTAGAAAATACACATAACTAAAAAGGAATATTTACACTACAAGCTTTACAATGCAAGCAGTTATAATAATAATCTGGACTAACAAAGACACACAAGTATCTTCAGAGGAAGACAGCACAGGCACATCCCATAATTTAAATGATTCAAAGTAATAAAACTTGCATCTTTGGGTTTTTTTACCAGTATCTGGCACGTTCTTCATTCCTAGCTAAAAAAATACGCACATCAAATGCTGTGTAACATTCAGAATGCTCAGTCCTTTGTGTATTTAAAAGCTGTAAATGTCTACGAATTGGCTACTTTGCATTATTTCAAAGCATTTATCGATACAACTTCCTGTCACCACATACGCAAAGCTCACGTATTTTTCCATCTTTGCTTAGCTGTTATTGTTCATTTTATTGAGAAGAAAAATACACTAATTATCCACATAAACATTAATAATCTGCAATTAATAACCTGGAGCCCATAAAGCAATATCAGAAAACCTAAAATGCAATGGAAAGAACATGTTGTCCTATCAGTCATTCGTCTGCAGTGAAATCTCAGTGCATACAACATGTGGTTGGGTAAAACGAAGTCTGCCATATATTCTACTGCGTGAACACAACTGAGTATAGAAATATTTTCCACAAACCGCTTAAACAAGTGATTGTAACTGTCAGGAAGTAAGAAAGGTCAAAACAAAACATGAAAGCAAAGTGTATCACCATCTATAAAGAGATGCAAGCAAAAGAGCAAAGGTTGTTCACCTGCTTTATACATTTTCTTAAACATTCAGAGCCTGGAATTTAGGTCCTAAAATACTATCTGTTGCGAATTCAAATAATAACAATTATTTTAATTTTATGAAAAAATAAAGACAAAAGTATACATATATTTTGAAAGAAAATTTAATTTAGCTCTCAAGCATAAAATGCAATACTATTTCTTACTGCTCTTCTGCTGTTGTACCATGTGGGATGACAAAAAATACAAAAATAAAGTGAGACTTGCGAAACATCACACTATCAACAGCATTCTCTTTAACGCTTCCCTTGAAAACAAAAAAGGAATAAGATTACAGAGGCCAAGAAGGTGCGCTGCAGGTGCAAAGCTAAATGGAAAGGAAGCCCTAGCTCAGAACACAGGTCGATTCCCATGTCTCCTTTTTCAGACAGGACTTCTGTCAGCCTCTTATTAATCTCTGCGTCTCAAAAAACCACCTCTTTTCTAAGGGAGATTCAGGTGCAATAAGGTGGCCTACACCTTGTGTAACACAAACACTAATTTTACAAGGATGCTAACATAAACGATATGCTTCACAGGAACCAGTAACTGGCTCTAGCAATTCCTATGCCTGGTAAGGAAAATGAGATCAAAATCAGTTATAATTTGGTATGCCACATTATTCTCTCAAATATTATAATTTTCCTCCCAAATAACCCTCAAAGTAAAAGCTTCTCTGACTTAGACCATATGAGATATTCATTCCCATGTGCCAAAATTAGATACTGGATGAAAATCTTAAGCAGGTGTATTGTGTTTGCATGGCAAGGTTTTGGTAGCTGGGGAGCTACAGGGGTGGCTTCTGTGAGAGGCTGCTAAAAACTTCCCTTGTCCAACAGAGTCAATGCCAGCCAGCTCCAAAAAGAAAACCCCACCCACCCCAAAGAGGCCCCTGCCACTGGCCAAGGTTGAGCCCATCAGCAATGGTGGTAGCACCTCTGGGATAACATATTTAAGAAGGGGGGAAAAAACCTGCACAACCGCAGCTGGAGAGAGGACTGAGAGTCCTGTGAGAGAAACAACCCTGCAGACATCCAGGTCAGAAAAGGAGGGGCAGGAGGGGCTCCAGGCACCAGAGCAGAGGTTCTGCTTCAGTGAAGACCATGGTGAGGCAGCCTGTGCCCCTGCAGCCCATGGAGCTCCACGGAGGAGCAGATATCCAGCTGCAGCCTGTGGAGGACCCCACGCTGGAGCAGGAGGTTCCCCGAAGGAGGCCGTGACCCTGTGGGAAGCCCGTGCTGGAGCAGGCTCCTGGCAGGACCTGTGGAGAGAGGAGCTCACTCTGGAGCAGGTTTGCTGGCAGTACTTGTGCCCCCGTGGGGGACCCACGCTGGAGCAGCCTGTTCCTGAAGGACTGCACCAGCCCGTGGGAAGGACTCACGTTGGAGAACTTTATGGAGGACTGTCTCCCATGGGAGGCACCCCAGGCTGGAGCAGGGGAAGAGTGTGAGGAGTCCTCTCCCTGAGGAGGAAGGAGCAGCAGAGACAACGTGTGATGAGCTGACCACAACCCCCATTCCCCGTCCCCCTGCGCCGCTCGGGGGGAGGAGGGAGAGAAATTGGGAGTGAAGTTGAGCCTGGGAACAAGGGAGGGGTGGGGTGAAGGTGTTTTAAGATTTAGTTTTTATTTTCTCATTATCCTACTCTGATTTTGATCGGTAATAAAATTAAACTAATTTCCCCAAGTCAAGTCTGTTATGCCCATGACAGTAATTGGTGAGTGATCTCTCTCTGTCCTTATCTCGACCCATGAGCCTTTCATTTATTTTCTCTCCCCTGCCCAGCTGAGGAGGGCAACAATAGAGCTGCTTTGGTGGGCACCTGGCGTCCAGGCAGGGTCAACCCACAACAGGCTTCATGTTACATTAAAAGATTAGAGGGAAGGAATCACAAAGCTAAGTCACTACATATGTGCAGTAGAAGTACAAACCTGTAGACTTCCCACGTAGGAAGCCATAACCATTTAAAACAGGGCGAGGTTTATTTCTAGCATTATGTAGCCATTCCTTAAAGATCTTCTCTGATCTTGCTTTCTTCTCCTGTAGCTCAGCCTCCCTTTCTTTTTCTTTTTCCTAAAAATAAAAATAATCTTACAGATATAGCCCTGTACAATATACACAAAATGGTAAATAAATCTTTTGCAGATTCCCATACTGCTGAATATATTTCAAATATGTTTTGAAATACAAATATATTTTCCTGACAATAGAAAAGTTGCATTTTTTCCTTTACATCTGGGAAAAAAAAAAAAATCAACCTCTGCATTAATCCAGTGTTTCTCTGAGAAAAAGCTCTCAGAAGAGAGCTTTTGGAAGACTACATGTAGAAGATATTCTGAACATAATGGGCAGAGGGCCTACTGTGCTGCAGTTAGCCTGAAGAGGCTATTGCATCTGTGACAGTCATCCACGCTTTTCATTTACGTGTATGTCTACAACCCTATGTCATCCATGACTGGGTTGCCTCCAAGCCTGGAGCAGGCTTGGGGAACCATTAATCAGAAGTAAGAGTAAAAACAGTATGTTTAGGCATGGCATTTGGATTTAAACTAAGTTTAATTGATACTGTGAACATGGCTTCTGAAGCTCACTATAAAAATACACAGGTGATTAATTAATATGAAATAACATTAAAATTAGAACTTCTAGCATCAGATTGGTACAGACAGATATGAAGAAAAATGCTTATAATTAGAAGCATGTGCAAGTATAATAATAATATAATTGTCACGCTGGGAGAAAAATGCATATAATGCCGCCTATTTTCTGTCTGGGTCACCCTGCAATGGACTGAATAATAAAGGTACCCTGTGTGGTTTGTATTTCCCTTTCCCTTGCCACAGCACAATTACAGTGGGTTTGCAAAGACTATTAACAAAAATGCATTAATATGCATCTTGCTTTGCTGACCATACTTTAATGTCTTCAATGCTCTAACATTACAACTTTTGAAAGTTTTTTCCATGTACAACACTACCATTTGAAAAATTCTAATAAATTTAATCAAATCAGATTAAATGATTAGTTGATGAATACCTTCTCTTTCTTCTTCTTTTCTGCCTCTTCAGCTCTCTTCTTCTTTAACCATTCTTTATATTTTACTTCAGCCTTTTCTTGTAACTGCATTTTTTCTAGTTCCCTTGTGGTTCTTTCTGCCATTTCTTTGCTCAGCTTTTGTTCCCTTTCCCTTCTTTCCTACATGAAACAGATCAAAGAAACAGAATAGAGACTTTTCAGTACATTTCAATAGGAAATTCTTTTGAGGAATACAGTTAATTTTTTTTACATAAATCCAAACAAAATTATCATAACCCTAAAAAAAAAAAATCATATTGCAAGTTCTTTGAAGACAGAACCTATTCACCACTAGGTTCCAGATGAAATAGTTTTAAACATATGAAATTGTCACAAAACACAATAAAAAAAAATTTACTTTTGGGACACCTTATGCTATTATGTTTACTACTCTTTTGTTTATTCAGACATTTTTTAAAACACTTCAGACAATTCTCAATACTTCTGGGAAAGAAATACATGTTGCAATTCTTGACAACGGTGTGTCACTTTTCAGTGAATCCAGAGCAAACTACAGTTCCAAATGGAAGTCAGGCACACTGCCCCCCTTCTAAGAGTCACTGAGATATGCAGATTGTTCAGCACACTCAAGCATAAGTTGATATGACAATAAGAAGTTCACATGAGAATCCAGTTGATGTCTTGTGGTATTGTCTATATTTTTCATATTTTCAGTTTGGACATATGGACTTCTGTGAATCAAGCTACACATTTCTCCAAATGATGAAGGCGAAAGCAAGAAAACACGTTCAAGGGTAGGCAAAAAGTGGTAACTGAGTGTGAAGTGAAATTGCTCCCTGTACAACTTGGAAGATACAATACGCAGAAGTGTCATTCAGTTCTACATCTTTTCAGTGTGTATGTATCTAACGGTACACCACAATGTTTTGGGGACCATTCTCTAAGCAACCAAGCACATATCAATGGCCTTTTCTTGATCTGGAGAGGGAATTATTTTCATTTGAAGACTAACAACAGCTCTCACTTCCCTTTATGAAATGTCTGGGATTCTATGGATTCGGTACTACTTCTACTTAGCTTGCTTAGCTCTGAAGAACCTGCATACACACATAGAGGCAAAAATCTTTACCAGACAAGCTGTGCACATGACTTGGAGAAGAGGCAGAACACTTCAGATCAAACAGTTTCCACAGAAAAGAACTGCTGTATAAAAATGTTGTTTTGCTTTTCAGAAATCTTCTTCTTGTATGCTCCCCTGCATACTCCTCTTGCACAAAGGAGATGTGTATTTTTTCAGGAACTTATGCTGACTCAAAATTATTATAGTTGGCAGTATGGATGTCAAATGCCTAGAACTACAACTGCAAAGTATAATAAATAAATGGAAAAGAGGAAAAACACTGAATTTACAAGAGCAGGAATATACTTCCCATTTTAACTCTTACAAGCACAAAAAGGCAGAGAGATAGAGCTCTGGTGTGGTCCATCCATGGGCCCCTCCACCACCTTTTTTCCAGATTCATTGCACTTCTGTAAAAATCAATTGTACATAACGAAGCAGAAGCCGTAACACTGGAGCTGGGGACCAGCATGATTCTCTCCATCTGGTCTAAAGAGGATATCTGCTGGTTCAGTACTTGTCCTCTGTACCAAAACTCACCAGTAGTTCAATAAAGTAGCACCATACGGAATAAAAACCTCAGCTTATATTGACCTGCAAAACACTAACTCCTTTCTTCCATTTACTGGATTAGATGATGAGGTGCAAAAACACAGCCAATAAAGAGAAAATGCATTGCTTTCAGGTTAAAACATTTGCCAATTTTTTGTAAGACACAGTACTGGATAATAAACTCTTTCATGTTGGATTCTTTATCCACACTATACAAAAATGTCTCGATAAAAAAAATAATTCTAAACATAATATTAGCTCACTCTTGGCATTCATTTTTTTGAGCATGTCATAATGCTAAACTGCAGACTTCTTATCAGAAAAAGCCAGTTTAGAGAATTGTTTGAGTTAGTGTGCCCCTCCCTGTGTTTGCCAACACTACAAGCATTATTACAATTTTAACATCAGCAGCCAAATTATGCATTAACTCTGGGGGTTTTTCCCCCCTTTTAAAAGCTATGCCTTATTAACTGCATTTACCATAATCTCCAAGGTGGGTGTTTCTTCACCTTAACCATTATTAAAATTAAAAGCCACTGTTTTGGTATAGTCTTGTGAAATATTCTTATCTGGTGACAAGGAGTTATTTGTGTATACACTGCACATAATTTCACAAAACAATTAGCTATTAACTCTATTTTCTCCTTGGTTTTGTTTTTGGTTTTTCTTTTTCATTTCACTTCCAATACATTCTAGCGAACATAACCTGATTTTGTTCTGCAGTGTGGGGAAAATAGTCAGAGATGAATACACTCCAATTTCAACGCATACACTGGAATGTAAAACTCCACAGAACTACAAAATAATGGAAGTCTTATAAGATTTTGCAACACAGTCTGTAAGGCCTGTACATGTGATAAAATTATTATTTACAACTAAGACCAATGAAAAAAAGAATTTCATTCTTGGAAAAAAAAAGTTGAGATTCGGAAATATTTTCGTACTACTGAAGAATGGAAGCAAGACCTTTCTTAATGTGAAACAAAACCTTCCATGCTTAAATATGTTAAAAAGGAAAAATAATCTATTTTTGGCAAGTTATGCAGATCGTAAGTATCACCTGCCTGAAAAACAAATAACCAATTGTCTAAGCTTTTCCTCCTTCTTCATCTAAAATTCATCTTAATCTCTTTTATTCAGAGCTGTTCCTCTGTCCCTTCATTACCACATATTCCCCACATGCATTCCTCAACAACTCCTGTTTCGAGACAAAGCTAGTCTGGGACAGCTAAAAAGCATTAATGTAGATGAGAGATATATGCTAAAACAGTGAGTTAAGACCATTGGTGAAAAAGGCTTACAAAGATTTCAAATATTTTGTTGTTTGCTGGTTTATCTCCATTGTACATGAAAGTAAGTTACAAAAGTAAGGATCTTTCAAACCTACAGTCTTTAGCTAAGGGGTTTATTGTATAAAAAGCATGAAAATAAATATAGGAGAAATTTTTTTTTCAAGAAAGGGGCCCTTCCATACATAGGGGAATTGTTCAATAATGGACAACAATTATAAGGAGAAAATAGACTAAAAACATTTCTAAAGACAGTAATTAAAAGACAGAGAAGCTTTTTCAATTATGTATCTTTAATCACAATACTTCAGATGAGTTTAGCTACTCTCTAGGCTGACCCAAAGTTAAAGTAGGTCCTATGTAAACAATGATATACCATGCACACTACCATGAAAGCCACAACTATTGCTAAGTTTCACTTCCAGTAAGACATCCTTAAGACAGGGAGAGTCCCTGTGGAATTGCAGACTTGGCAGCTGCTAGAAATTATTCTACAGACTAATCGGAAACGCTTCCTCTTTCTCTCATGCACAGAACAACTCTTCGTTCATAAGTTGGTGTACGCCACATTCCCAGCTGCTTTAATAACCTGTTTCATGCAAGCTCCTGTCACCCTGCCCTTCCCAGCTTCCCCCATCCTCATTACTTTCCTTTACACGAGTCTATCAGAAATGCTAGGAATGTACATATTAACGTACATGTCCATCAATCTTCCCTTCACTCTCCTTCCACGTATATGCGGGGGGGGGGGGGGGGGGGGGGGGGGAATTAAATAATTTGTTTATGCTTGGTGTTGTCAGATGGGGTTTTAAAAATTCTCTTTGATCTTGTGTTCAAAACAGACATGATCTATTCACTAAACCACTAGTAAATTTACATACACTTTAAAATACGATCACACGTATTACCTAAATTAAGGTATTGATTGTAAAGCATCCAATTACTCATTGCAAGAAAGGCTTGTTCTCCCACCACCCCACCCAGGCACATTATTAAGGAGAAAGGATACAAATCTGGCCTGCGGGTTCACTGCTCTGGGCTGTGATCCTATCAAGCGTCGGAACCTAATGAAGCCTGGGCTAGGTCAGTACTTGGAAATCCCCCACCCAAACCAAATCCATCCGTCCCACAAAGCAGTGACGGTGATTCAGTAGGCAGCATGTGTCTCACTGAGTCAGTACCAAACCAAAGTCTCATCAGCAAAACTAACTTCTCAACAAAAATCAGACCTATGTAGAGGTGGAGAGCTGTCAAAGGAACTCAAAATTTGAAGAAGCATCCCACTTTCTGACAGAAGTGGGACTGACTAAACAATTTTCCAGGCAGAAAACAGCCCAACTGCCACTGAAAGAGAGACACTATATCCAACTGGAAGAAAATTAATAAAAAAATATATTTCTGTGTTTTCATATCAATGATCAAATGAGAAGCTGGAAAGAGTCAAGTGCAGAGCTGCTTTCTATTCTGCATTTTCTATGTAGAGTGTCACTGACTAGAAATATTTCCAGAAATTAATGTTGTGGTTTGTATTTTTAAGATACTTCTCACAGCAATCCTTCTCCATTTTCTGGTCTGCAGAATGTGACAACGTTGATCTTTTCAGAGATAACCGATGGTTCTATTTCACAGCTGTTTGCTCTGACATCTTAGCTACCATAATCTAGCATCATTTTACACTGACTGATGGTGAAATATACACACTGTCAACATCAGAACATACATCCACATTTCCTCATTTATCCTCACAATAATCCTGAACGTTAATCACATTTGGCAGCCTCAGAAATCTGGACTGTTTGGCCAATTGTTATTATCTTTTCAATTTAGCCCTATTACACAGTTCAGTCACCAAGCCTAGCCTACAGAAATACTTCTTTAATCTCTACAGAATTGGCATGTGAAAAAAACAAAGAGGTTAAAAAGGAGGCCAGTGAAACAACACTGAGCTACAGTTGTCTACTGACAGGCAGGTTTACAACGATTTATGGCTCAATCTCACACGAAGTTAATGCAGACCCCGCTGCAGTATAGAAATTGGAGAACTGTAAGATGGTTACAAACATGGATCTTTCTCTCAAACCGTGCTTCTTTCATGTGGGTACTCAATATATATGAGAAGCAGAAGGTCTTAGTGTACTTAGTTCCTGAACACTCTCAGGATCTTTAGAAGAATGCAGACTCCACAAATGCTGCTGAAA